TGCTCCTCGGGCCCTGGTCTGCGTGAGGGCGGTGGAATCGCTGCTGCTCTGCCGTGCTATTTCCCCCAGCTCGTCTAGCATCCCTGAAAGCCAACTGCATTTTGTTTCATTGATGACAAGACTCTTGCAGTCCTGTCTTGCTTGGTGTCCCCCTGGACAAGCTGGGACAGACAGCTCAGGGCAGACAGAGGAATTCATGTTTGAGCAAAAGCAGAGAACGTAAAACTTGTTGTTAGAGGCCGTGGTAGGTAGGGCCCTGACAGCACTGCTCAAGGAAGTAAACCAGCTCAAAAGAGGAACCTCGCAAGGCAGGGTTTATGGTGGCTGGTAGGTCGTGCAAGTGTGAACTCAGCGAGAAAACCCTGCTCTCCTTGGAGGAACGGGGGAACAATGAAGTGCATGGGGAGCAGCACAGGGCAGAGAGGGTTGCTCAGTCCCCGTAGTGCATGTGGGAGCATGGGGATGGCACTCATCCCAGGAAGGTCACAGGGGCACCCACCATCAGAGCATGCCTCCAGAGATGGGGAACGGGCAGCTGAACCCAGGCACTGCTGGAGACTCTCAGACCCTCCTCGGCTTTCAGCATTTAACACCTTTCACAAAGGGCTTCTCTAACAGCTTGAAAAAGCAGGTTGTCTTCTGGATTATGACTTGCTTTGGGCTGAGCATACAGAAATGCACAGGCCTAGTGCAACTCCTGTTTTGTGTTCCTGCCACAAGAATTAAAATCCCACAGTCATGTGCAGAGCTTTGGGGAGCAGAACTTAATCCATCATGTCCCCCAAGAGAGGCAAAGAGAGAGCTGAAAGACCTTAAAACTTAGTCTCACCTCCTCCTTATGATATGGCTTGGGAAGGGCAGCACAAGGATGCAGCCGCTTGCTGGGGAGCTGGGTATGCAGACAAGTTTTTTCATCTTTAGGTTGTTGTAATGGAGAACCTTTACACCTGAGCTGGTACCTCAGCTGAAGTCATACCTGGCTGTTTTGCAATCACCTGCTTGGACACTGTAGGAACTTAGATGCTGAAAAGACAGCTCACATTAGTGTTAACACCAGTCATGTGGAAAAGGGTCTTCAAATACTGAATTAGAGGGAAAAAAAAGAAAAAAAAAAGAGACTACTAAAGTTAGAGATACCCACAAAAGCTAAAAACATTCTTAGGGCACACGTGACGATGTAAAAGCCTGCAGGTGAGGAGTCCACCAGCCTAACATGACCTCTCTGCAGTCCACTCAATCAAGTCAATCACTTTGTTGGGGAGGCAAAACCACCTGAAAAATTAAGGCTGTAAACAATTAGAGTAGCTAAGCTCCCAAAAAGCAAAGCATTTCCAAGTACAATTTGCAAGACTTCCACCAAGTGCTTGTTTTGCCCATGGGATTATTATTGTTCCTGTAATGTGGCTTTCAGTTTGATCTGTGGAATTCTAACATACTTCTACTACTTCTCAAGGTCATCTGCCACTTTTTGAAGGAGGAATTGCCTGGGTTTTGTCCTTTTGGAAAAACAAAGTAGGAAAGTTGGCAAATTGAAAAGTGTAATGGAGGAAAGACCAGTCCCAGTTGTTTCCTAAGTGCTTTGTTATTATTTAACCCAGATAACTGGAAATGAAGCCTCAGACCAGCTAGAATTGCCCCTCCTTCTCCTGCAAATAGACCTTAGAAACCATCTGCAGGCCCCTAAAGACAGGTATTTTCCTCTGGTATCAGAGCTGTCAGACGAGCCTTTTCTTTATTCCCATGGCAAATTCAACTTCTGTGTGTACAGCCCTGGCTGAGGAAGCTCTTAAACACCTTGTTCTGCTCTAACATGACAGCAGATAACCTTTCTTTTCCACCTCCCAGTCTCCACTACTCTCCAAGATAGGGTGGAGAGTGGAGCAATACACCTACACATTTTTTTAACACGGGTGGCTGTTAAGTCAGGTTTCAGTGTACACTTCAAAACAAACCCTATGGCTTCTGAGTGAGTCACATCAGCATTGTTAACCTTCCCTGTGCATTTGGACTCCTGCGTACCCCACACTTTGCTGTGCAGCCACAGTTCCTTTGCAGAAGGCATCAGCATCATTATCTTGGGTCGTGAAGAATTAAATTGGCAGGGTTTTTAATTGTTAGAATCATACTTGGGTGCACTGACTCTCTGTGGAGTGCATGAGCACGTATTGAGTCTACCTGAGTGGCTTTGTGCTTCTCTGGTGTCTGATTACCTCTAATGTCCCTTCAATACACTCTAAGAAGCTCTGGAAGTTCACTTGCCACTATCATTTTAAATAAAGATAACTACAGCTTTGTTTTGTTTAGTTCTCTTTACCTACCTTCCTGGCTCTCTCTGACACTGAAATAAAACCTAGGTGGCAGCAGAGGAAAATTCTGGCTTGGCTCACTCAGCTGGGATATACAGCCTAGCCCACATGCAACTCGCCTGGATAGTGTTACACCAGCCATCCAAGGAATTCCAGGGCCAGCAGCAGCAATGTCATTAGGAAAACCCAGAACACTTTACTACCCTTAATTTATTTAACATCAGCTTTTACCTTTACGTCCATTGCAGCAAGCCTGTTATTTTTAGAAAGTCCCGTTTTCATTCTCAGGGATGATAATGTGCTGCACAAGAAACACGAGCCTGTTCGGAGCTGCAGTACTTGTCGGCTGAGGGCTGAAGAGAGGAAGGCCCCCAAGGCTGCAGCTGCTGGAACACGCACGCCTGAGTGGGAGTCGAGTGGGTATTCTTCACTGGGAACATGTCAACCCAGAGAGGGAGCAGCAGAGATGAGATGAGAGGGAAAGCAGGAGTGCCGGAGAGAGAGCTGCACCTCTTCAGCTCTGGCTGCAAGCAGTAGCTCCGTCTTTGTATAAAGGGATGATGTACGACCTGCTCTGTGATTTATGATTTCTTACAAGGTCTATTCTTTCTTTCCTGGACTAGAATTCTTGCTGCTTTTGTTCACTCCATGTTGCAAAAGTAATAATATCATATGTTAATGACATGGAAATAAAATTTGAAGATTATTCAACAAAGACTCATTTAACAGCAAAGGCTTGAGTCATTCATAACCAAAAATATTTAATTTTCAGATGTTCATTATGTGTGTTAAATTCTTGGTTACAGCAAAAAGATTGTAACATGTAGCATCACAGTGACATATAATCAAGCTGTAACAGTGCAGTTCATTACAACTGTGTAAACAAAAAGAAGTATTTCTGTAATGGCACTCTTCATGAACCAAGTCCTGGCACACACAATCTCAGCAGAAGTCAAAAGAAACATTTATAAAGAAGATAAAATTCCAAATTGAAGCACAGTACATGAACCTGGCCAAAATGGGCCAATCCACATTTCATATGAGAAAAAAAGTGTCCTCAGAACTTTTGCTTGCTTGCTGTCAAGGAAATGAAATAATTGAAGTTTTTCAAGGTATCAATCCAGCATAGGAACAATTTCTGCTATTATTGAATAATATGAACAAAGAGTAAACATCTCTTAATTATGACCATGTGAATATCTCCTACTGTGACATTATTAAAGGAGGCGAGATGATTTGGGAATGTTATTGTTGTTGTAGCATGACACCTGCAGAAGATATTCCTTAGGAAATAAAATAAATTACTGAGATGCAAAATTCAACACACTTCATCAAAGAAACGGTTTTGTGCGTAAATATCTAACAGAAAAAGTAGCATCTTACTTTCCTGTGACAGAAGTAAACGATTTGATTATAAGGCAATGGATATACTGTAAACTGTAAGATAGGGGTTTGAACTTTAAATACACGCCTCAAATAGATTTTAAATATTAGCACCTAAAATGTAGCACTGGGATTTAAGTTATTTTAGTAGCTTTCAGGTCATGCGTTAGTTATGGCTTGCTTGATGGACACAATTTTGCCAGCAATGTTTTAGTGTTCTGTGAGATCCTCTTAACAAAAACACACAGGTCAGAATGCCACTACCTTTTACAGGTGTACCTTCTACATGGGAAGTTTTGCATATGTTCCGTCTGCAGAGAGAAGGCCCCACAGCAGCAGGAGGTATAGAAAGAGCAAAGAAGTTACAGCTATTAAAAAATACAGGGAAAGTGGGAGTATGTGATCGAATCACAAGCTAGTATCGTCAGTTTACAGAAAGCTATAAATTTGCTTGTTTAAAAAAAGACATCCAACATGTGCTTACTCACATGCTGACACAGAGTTCATGCAAACTATTAAAAAAAACACACTAAATTTTATCTTTCAGAAATGCTGCATATACTCCTTCCTCAAATAAACTGAAGCCCCCTCAGAAACAACAGGGACCTAATGTGCAGATTGACTCAAGCAACAAGTAATTGCTTCCACTGTAATGAGAAGTGAACAGCAGTATCAAACAGGAAATTTCACTGATTTGTTCTTCTTAATTTCAAACACTGTCCAAATCCAGGTTCACTTCTCATTAAGCAGTAAGACTACCTTCAGAAAAAAAAAAAAAAAAAAAAAAGAAAAAGGTTATTTTCTTGGAGGAAGGACATTTTCTTCATAATAGCCCGGATTTACTACATTTCCAGCTGGATCATATCTAGCCACCACAAATGTTGAGCCATCACTAGCAGATGCTTTTCCAACTCCCATCTTTTTTGTGCTCTTCCAAACCATTGCTGTAAAGTGACCTGAGGAAAGAGAAACATACGTATTCATTTTAGGTACCAAATCTGTAACATTCCCTTTAACATATGAGGGACGGGGATAGAGAATGCAAACTGGTTTCTTTCTCTAACAGGAGGACAAGCTAAGGACATGAAAGAAAACCCTACATCTAGCATTTTGTCTTCATCTGATCTGGTTTCACACTATTATTCCCATTTTCCATGTCCTATGTCCAAAACCCAAGACTTAGTAGGAGGATGAAAGAAGTAGTTTGATGACTATCTGACATAAAATTTGACAAAGACATCATGGGTTTTACTCCCTGCAGTGTGAATAGCAGTTCTGACAGAGTGACTATTACTCATTTGCTTTAACCATCTCGTACTCCCCCAGGTATCTGCATGTGCAACTGTTCAAACTAATATTGGTTTCATGGCCTAGTTATAAGAGCCACCCCTGCACTGTGCTGCTCCATCAGCTGTTCCCTCTATACAGAGAAATCCCATGGGAAAACGCCACTATTTTCTTCATCTGAAACAAGCTCAGATATATTTCTTGCTTGAGCATTATTAAAGGAACAATTTTGTGACGCTCATTCAATACTGGATTGTCAATATGCAGCCAATGGCCTGTTTCTCAGCTCTGAATTAAATCTGAAGTGATCTCTGTGATTGAAGTGATATAATCTGATAGAAGTCACACATCAACGTAAACAACAGCGTAGCAGATTTAGTAAGGCAAGTCTATTATTCCAATTTTGCACCTTCTACAAAATAATGTGCCTTAAAAATAAGTTGCCTTTTAAAAACTTCAGGGTTGGAGGAAAAAAACAGTATTAAAAAAAACCCCAACATTTTGGGTTCTTCTTAATTTCTCAGTTTCTTTTTACCTTAATGTAAGTTTCTAACATAAAAATGTGGGGAAATTCTCTCCATTTCTCCCCCTCCCCCTCTTTATTTTTCTAAGGAAAAAAGGGTAGACTTTTAACAAACATCAAAGAAGTTTTCTAGTCCATTTCTTAAAATAAAAGCTGCGGTTTTGATGAAAAAGTGCCCATCTGAACTTACCTGTTCCAGAAGAAAATCCTGGGTTTTGAAAGCTGTAATTTTTTATTTCACTGTACCATCTATCAGCCACATCCTTTCCTGAAAGACAAAAGAAGCCTGCTGTGGAATCATGGCATAAACAGAGAAGGGTAGCACACTTACAGCCTGGCCTGCAAGATCTTCTGTTAATAGCTGGCAAGAACTGCTAGAAACGTGGAGAAATAATCTTTTTACTAAAAAGAATTTTTGAAATGTAGGTAACATGACAGTAGATGTAACTTATCAAATCTTTATTGGTCTGCAATAGCTGTTGTTACTCAGCATCAAAGCTTTACTTTTTAGCTAAAGCTCTTCTAATTAACTGCTCTGTCTGAAGTCAGCAGCATTTTCATAAACTGTCTGGCTTTAGCAGTGATAAGACTTCATGTTTAGAGTTACTGCCAAGGATTGGTGTGCAGACCAAGGCCACTGCTGAGCTTGGATCCCACACAGAGGGGGGCAGAGAGTACCCCGCACCTGCAGGGAGGAGTGGGCAGGATAACTGACCCCAGGATTCACCAGTGGGGTGTTCCATCCCACAGCCATCATAGC